CCGCGGCTCCAGACTGTATCCTTTCACCAAGCTGGTGGGTTTTCCACATTCCCACAAGAGCTGCCCAAGTCCTTGTGTCCCACATGCCCCTGTTGCTTCCCCCCGCTCTCCCAGCCCCAGCTCCCCAGTTTCCGCACACGGGGATGTCGGTTCTCGCCCGTGCTGCCCGGTGAGCAGCGGAGTGCGAGCGTGTAGGAGCAGCGTGGTGTGTAGCACCCGCCGTGACCTCCCTGACAGCAACAGAAGGGACCCGTGCCTGAGCTCCTTGCTCTGCGTTGTTCATGGAGCCCCGTTCCGGTCACGCGTGTGGATGGTGTCTCAGCAGGAGTCCCCCGGAGAACCGTGCAATGGGCAGTAGCTCTGCTGCAAACCAGGGGCTGTAGTTTGAGTGCAGGAGTCTAATTCCTTGTTCCTCTTTTCTCACAGGCATCGAGCTTTTCTCGCTCTCTGTGTTGGAAAATTGCTCGCCATCGCATACCTGGTGTCTGGCGGGATCATTCCCATGTGTCTTTCTCTAATTCTCTGCAGTGCCCCCAAGGGAAATTGCTCTCAATGCATTCCCAGTCACGGTGTGAGAAGTCAGTACAAGTCAACAGCCTATTATGCTGGCAAAGCTGGAGGTAAATTGAGTCCTTGAGACTTAATTTAACCAAAAATTGGGAAGCTTTTTGCAGTCTGTGTTTGTGAAGGGTCAGGCAGCCCCCCAGCACAGGCGTCAGCTCTACAGTGCAGAATTGAGGGTGCCGTTGGTACCTGCCCTCCTCTTCAGGGGTGCCCGGAGGGCACTCCAGCCCACTCCGTCGTCGAGAACTGCTAAACACTCTGCTCTTCCCCATCTCCTGTGGGCTCCCTTGAGCACGGTTCCATGATGGACTGGTCCCTTGCTCCGTGCGGGGATGTCACCGGCCGTGGTACCCAGCTCTGGCAGAGGGGGTGGCGGCGTGTCTGGAGCTGCTTCGTCCTGAGGAGCGGAACACTGAACGACACTGTGCAAATGATGGGCAACATTTGGGCCTTTCTTGGGAGGTGATGGTAAAAACTGGCTAAAATGAATTACTGCAATTCTTACTGAAAGCCCAGATGAGCCATCTGGTACCATCGATTGTGCCCAGGTCTTCCTACATCCAGGAGACTACAGCAGAGTGGGGTGACCTGCCCTCCAGCACCTGCCCTGCCTGTGCTTTGGGTAACTAATTAAGGAACTAATTAGGCAGCCAGTCATTAGCTTTCCTAGAGAGGCAATCCACGTGGGCAGAGGGGCCTGCTGTGCTTCTCCCTCAGAACCTGTGCTGGGTCTGCCTGTGCCCGTTGGAGTTTGGTTAGTGGAAGGCCATTGGCACTCAGTCCCTAGGCAAGTTCCACAGCAGCTTGGGAAAACGTCGGTGTTAACGTCTGAGTAGCAAAACCTGCCCGGCTGGGTGCAGCTTAGGCAAAGGAGCAGGACAAAAGACAAAGCCGTGTTTTTTCTCAGCCTCTTGTAGGAAAACAAGGTAGTTGTAGGGGGTAACCACCCTGGCATCGCCCCCTGAAGCTGTTACAGCTACAGCATCTCTTGTGTTAACTTTTGCCGGTCCTAGTTCTTCACATCCACAGTGGGAATGTGTCCCTTTGCTTGCGGCGGGGCTGTACTCGCTTTAGCGGGGCTGCGTTCTGGCCGGCTGCTGTGGGCTCCCTGCCCTCCGCAGGCAGCTGGGGCTGTCTGCAGCTGCTAGCAGCTCCGCATTCCCAGCTCCGCAGAAGCACGCAGAACGGGAAGAAATGTCACCAGTGTGACCAGGAGGGCAGCTGTGTCGGTCTGTAGTTCTTCCGTTGTGTTACACCGCTTGGAGCTGTTTTTTCACAGCTCCAGCAGAACTTTTTTACCCCAGGGTGGAAGCTGAGCTCTTGCCTTTGCGTCTTGGCATCTTTGCTATTTCTGGGACTGTGACTTAATCTTCTGCTGTACTCGAAGTGTTCTTCTGAAGTCACGTTTCCCTAAGTTCATCTTTGTGCTACGGGAACGAGAGCCAGAGGCCGAGCAGTGGCGCGGGAGCAGACAGCGGCGTGAGCCGCGTAGCTGTGTACCTGGGCACCGACGAGGCGCTGCCGGGTGCGAACTGCTGGTTCACCAGCCCTGTGCTTCCTTTCTGGTGTATGCAGCACGGAGGGCATTGCTATGTTTGCTTTTGGATTTGGATTTGCTTGCTTGATTAGGCTTAGCCTAATGACCTCCTTCGCTGCCTCCTTCCTCCAGCCCCGAGCTGGAAGCGTTGAGCAGCACAGCGTCGTCTCGGCTGTGGTGTCTCCCGGTCAGCAGCCAGCCGTGCCGTGGTTACCTGCGGTGGGGGAGTTTGGCCATGCTCAACCCCGGCCCGTTAGCTGTGCTGCTGTCGTGACAATGTCAGCTGCCTGCACTTGGGACACTTCCCTTTCACTTCTGTAGCTTGAAGTGCAGCTGGAGAACTCCGTTTGAATGCGGTTTCTGATTATTGCTTACGAATGCAAAGTCTTCCTGGCGCCAGCTGAAAATGGGTTGGTGGGGTGTCAGGCACCCTGACGGGCTGTGAGTGAGGGGGGGGTGTCAGGCACCCTGACGGGCTGTGAGTGAGGGGGGGGTGTCAGGCACCCTGTTTTTGAGGGTGTGGGGGTGTCAGGCACCCTGAGGAGCTGTGAGGTGGGGAAGGGGGTATCAGTCACCCTGAGGA